TATATATATACACACACACTAAAATAAACTACTACTATTATCCCTACTTTGTGGTTTTTCACTTATCGCGGGGCTTTAGGGTACGGATCCCCTGTGATAAACGAGGGACTACTGTATATTTGAACGTTATTGTGAAGGTCACAAAAGTGCAGAGGTGAAAAAGAGAGTCCAGGCAGGATGGAGTGGATGGAGAAAAGTTTCAGGAGTGATTTGTGACAAAAGAGTGTCAGCAAAGGTCAAAGGAAAAGTTTACAAGACAGTGGTGAGACCAGCTATGTTGTATGGTCTGGAGACAGAGGCACTGAGAAAAAGACAGAAGACAACTGGAAGTGGCAGAAATGAAGATGTTGAGGTTCTCCTTAGGAGTGACAAGGCTGGATAAGATTAGGAATGGGATCATCAGAGGTACAGCACAGGTTGAACAACTGGGAGATAAAGTTGGAGAGACCAGACAGAGATGGTTTGGACATGTCCAGAGGAGGGACAGTGGGTATACTGGTAGAAGGATGTTAGAAACGCAGCTGCCAGGATGCAGTTAGAGAGGACATGGAGGTTTTGGAGTGAGGACAGAGGATGCAGAGGACAGGGTGAGATGGAGGAGGATGACTCGCTGTGACAACCCCTGAAGAGTGAAAATCTGACAGAAGAAGAATATTTAAATAGTTATTTTTATATAAATGTCAACAAGCTTCTCTTTTGTAGTTCTGCAACAGTTTCCAGTTTCTTTTAGAAATAAAAATCTAATACATTCAACAACCACTGGGTGTCCCCCAAGAGTAGCAAACTAATACAAACCAAAAGTGAAACCAAACTAATAGCACCACGTGTCAAACCTTCCTAAAACAATGTAGTCAGGTTGCACCCCTCATTTAACTGCATCTTTTAAACAGAAAGAAGCAACATCGAACCTCAAACTTTGCTTTCTCCTACAAAACATTCACACGTGTAAACATGGCCCCAGCAGCAAAAACTCAGAAGCAGGAAATACAAGACTGAAGAAAACAGGGAAGCTGTGATGAGAACGTCGATATATATTATGTTTTTGTTGCCCTGTCTCTAATATGAAGCTTTTCCTGGTGGAGCAGATTTGTGCAGGGCGTGTGCCCCCAGGACGTTGGTATCAAACATGCTTAAATATTTTCAGTAATAAACCTTGGAAAAGCCAAGCGCTACAACACAGGACTTAAACTTGCACCTTACTTCAGTTAAATGTTAAATTTTACTTAAAAACGTTCCGTGTGAGCTTTCACTTGAACATTATATAAACAATACGTAATAAAGACAAGCAGAGAGGTGGTGAATCCTACCAAGTCTGCAGAGGGGTGAGGTTTTCATCAAATGGATGTCCGATGGCAGCTTTGTGCTGCTCCCACTTCCACGCCTTCAGCCTGCTGATGAACTGAGTTTGGGAGTGCTCCAGATGGTCCACACAGTTCTTCAGCAGCTGGCAACTCTTCTGCAACAACCACAATCTAAACTTGTCACATGCGTTCAAACACTTGGAACATTTACTAATAAAAATGCATACATAATATACATGTACAGTACATGTACAAATGTACAATATCAGATGTTCTTTTATTTACATCAGTTAAAAAAAATGAACATTAGGGAACTCTTTGTGTGCCTTGCTTATGAGAACCAGAAGTTATGGGCGGGACAAAGAAAGCTTATGGACGTACGGAGGGATGGAGACGATGTCATAATATGTCCTGCCTTCAGCGAGCATATAATATCAACCTGATTTTTTTTTTAGATGTCTTAGGTTGAAAAAACAAACAAACAACTGAACTAAATGTATGATTTTAACATCCAAACTTAAGTCAGGAATGAATGTAATTCTTAAGATCCCTGTCAGCCTGGATAATATTCCTTATTAAACTGCCCAAACTGGAGCTAGCAGGAGTGAAGACCACAAAAAATGAGCTGACTTAAGATTTTATGGTTCATTTAATGTCATATAGACATTAACACTGTAAGAATAGCAACTCCAGTACGATTCGTTTGATTTATGTACATCTGAATGTCGTCTGCGTAGAAATGCACAGTCATTCTAAAGAAGTAGGCAAAGAGGAAGACATGTAAATAGAGAATAAAAGGAAGCCAAGAAATGAGCCCTGTTGAAATGGATTTCCCTACAACTCAGCTGACTCATTAAGGTTGTATACCTGGTAGTTTTAAGAGTGTGGCAAAGGCTTTGTTTGTGAGGCCTGACTGAAAGAAATTCAGAGCTGGGTTCTTGTTTCTTCTGAACAACTGGCTCCATGATCAGAGTACCACACTTGTACTGTGTTATGCTTTGTTAATGAAGGCCACAACAGCCACAAAGAAAGCTCCTCCTAAGCACCAGATTTTCAGAATGTGAACAAATTATGAGGTTGTGCACAACAAATGGTCTCAACAAGTGCAGTATACATAATATAGTCTTCATAAATGTGCAAACAAGTAAAAATAAATGTGTGCTCTAGGTCAGTAGTTTGCAACTTATGGTTCCTCAGCCCGTCTGAGGAGGTTCCTTATTTCTTTGACCAGCAATAGCAACAACCTGAGTATCATTTATAAACTGATCATAAGAAAGGGCAGTTTTAGCTGTTTTTCAGTCCATCTTTCTGTTATTTATGCATGGAATTTATGCTGCAGGATGATACTAATAATACAGATGAATTCAGCTGCTTGTGTTAGCTATGCTGCAAAACAAAGCATAGTAAATTTAGCGTGTTTTCACTGTTGAAGATGCAGTGATCATACTGAATGCTGAGCTAATAGTCTGTTTGCTCACTTATGCAACTTGTTCACACTGACTGTGATTGTTCTATCCAAGGCAGATCCCTGTAAATGCAGAGCGTAATTTAGCACGTTCAATATAAATGACAAGTTTTTAAAATATCGTAATATGACATTGTAGTGAAATGCTCAAGTTATTCTCATGACAATGATAAAACAGAGTTAAAAACCTGCCTCCAATAAAAGCCTGGTGCTTTAAGCTTCTTTTTTTGTTAATCTTAAGACAACATTTAAGTAATAAAAGCCGACTCTTTTTAAAGACACTAGTTTTTCAACTTAATGCTTATTTGTCACCAAGTGTGTTTATTTCACTTATTCTCATTAAGGGAAAAAAAACTGAAACAGCTTTGAACAATCGTACCAAATGTAAAACATTATCTCCCATACAACTGCATAAATTGTCTTTTGTCTTAACACCTAAAACTGAAATGAAATGTCACTATTTAATTTGAACTGAGATAGCGCTGGAATTTTACAAATTATTTTATCGTAATTTTAAGGGTCAAGTAGATTTGGTGGCTTGAAAATGATTTGTTAGGAGAGATGGTAAAATGTTGTCTATAAAAGTTGTAGACTCTCGCTTTACTGCCAAGCAGCGTGAGTAAAACTTATAGTCTCACCGTCGACTCTTCGCAGATGTTATGCTCCAGTTTCTGGATGTTGTTAAGGAATTGCTGTATTTCTGCCTTGTTATATTCCGTACCATTTTGTTGGGATGGCCCTGTGGAAACAACACATTTTATACATCATTTAGGTCTTGTTTGCAGTTTTGCACAGTTTCCAAGGCTGCAAGTTGATACGTTACAGAGGACAACTTTTTTTAAGCTTTGAAATAATATTACATTATATACTGTTTATGTGCAGCCTATATATGTACAGTTTTTTAATATATATATATATATTTTTGGGCATGGTTTATATTCAAGTGTGCTCAATAGTTCACTTATTACAGTAGTTTTTGGGTACAAAAGCAAAGCCACTTTCTTCAAATAAAAACTACAACAGATAAGCTATTTCTATGGATACTACTACTGTTCTTCCAATGTCCATTAAGATATTATTTATTGCACTGTATTAAAAAAAGAATACGCTCAATTCATGACAGAAAGACACATTTCTCTGTTATACACTTGAAGACGGAGTTGGAAATAAACCTGACTGGTCGTAAAAGTGCACAAGGATTTCCTTCTAACGTCTACAAAATAATGTTATGCAACAACAATAATTAAAAAAAATGTATTTATCAAACCACTGAATATGTACATAATAAAATAATAAAAAAAATAGGTCAGACTATAAAATGCATAAGTAAAAAAATGAACTCTAATAAACCCCAACTGTGCCTGTTATAAATAACGTGCAGGATATTTTAGAGTTTCCTAAAGGTGCATAATAGTATTTGAGGCATGTAGAAGTTAGATAGCACAAAGTAATTATGAAAAATATCTTTACCTTGTAAATTTTCGTAGATGTGCTTCTCCCAGTTGAGATCTTTTTGCATGTCGTGCATCTTTTTTCTGATCTCCTGGAGCTCCCTCACCTTCTCCTTCAGCTTCTCCACATCCTCACTGTTAGGGTCACTGTTAGGGTCACTCTGAGGGAACGCTTGGTACTGCGGACAGCTGTTCTCCTGAAACTAAATGGCAATAAACCGACTTGAGGAGCATTAAGACAGGTTATTCAAAATTATTAATCTCCTTGTACAAATATGTCAAATTATGGCAGAAATGTTGCTGAAAACTGATTTTTTTTTTTTTTTACTTCAGTGCATTCACCTTTTGTAACTCACAGAGCTAAATTCACATAAGACATAAGCAGTTTTTGTTTGTAGTACAAATGCATCAGAGTACTTGACAAATAGTTCAGCTAACTTGAAATAAAAATTATAATTCTGTTGTAAATGCAGGCTATGATTATTCATAATAACATGCATGACTTATAATTATGACCTCAAATGTAATTTAAAAAGAAGACTAGACTGAAGTATGACTCCATGATGACAGCCTTACTATGAGTTTTGAAATTCTTAACATGATAACAAAGATCAGTGATGGTAAATGAAATGTAAAATTAAAAAAAATTCTTACCCCTTCCATCAGAGCCTTCTCCTGCATGAGAATGTCTCTGACCAACACGGCAAACTGTAGCGGCTGGATATTGGTCTGAAACAAAGGAGTTGTAATATTTTTTAAACTGTCTATAATTTAAAACACAACATCCCTTTTTCTCCAGATAGAAACAAATATGTATAACTTATTTTGTTTATTGCATTTAAAACCCTCACCATGTTGACCAAAAGTTCTGGCAGCGACACAAACGTGTTTTTCAGCTTCAACATTTTTAGATTAGTTTTATGTTTCTATTGTTTTCTGAAGAACAATTCAAACGTTTGGCCCTGTTCCTTCACAGCCTCTGCAGTCTACTCCAGCGTGCAGGATACCAACCTCTGAGCTAAATCTCGACTGATGATGGCCCAGTCTTGTTTTATTAATGGCTTCTGCTCATCCGGTTGTTTTTGAGCACTAAGTGCAGGTTCTCACAAGATATGGGGAGTTTCCTGACCACAGGTCCAAAATTTCACAGCTCTGAGTCATTTCATTTTCACTTTAGCCTTGTGACACGGTGCTCCGCTGGTACTAGAAATTAGACCAGTTCATCGCTGAACTGTGCTTGAATTGTTGGAGTAAGTTGCTCTTTAGGGATGTTTGGAGACCCCTCTATTCGTGGTGGCGTTCCTGGAGAAGCTCACGCACTTGACACAAGATTCATTTGACTGCTCAGTTTTCCTCCTCTGGACCTTCAGATTTCTCAATCAAAAGGCTCCATCAAATAAAATGAACTGTGTCAGTTTCTGCTGCACCATTTCTTGTACGTCCTGCAGAATTAGTCTGCTCTTGATGGTTTTCTCTAACAGAAGGAGCTTCTTTGCTGATCTTCTTGTCACGAGGCTGCTGTTAAAACGCGTCACGGTGCTGCAGATGCACTTACACACACCTGGAGCTCTGCGGCGCACTTCTCAGGAGAAGACGTCTTGCTGCTTGCTGAGCACTCGTAAAAATCTTGAACCCTTCTTCTCGACAACTGAACCTCTCCTCTTGAGGTTACAAAAGATTTAGACAAAACTCTTAGGTAGAATATTCTTATTCTTCCCAAATGTGAAGCCACTTGGCAACGCTGCATACATTTCTGTACTAAAATGAAATTAGCTGATCAATTTGTGCCACGGCAAAATTACAGTAAAGTGCTGTTTTTGTTTTTGTTACAACATTAAACTTTGAAAAAAGAAAACAAGTTAGCATCTGATCACTCTGTACTGAAATGTGAAAACATTGTGAAACTGTCAGTACACAAACCAAAGCCACAAAATTTGCTAAGCAAAATTTTCCAAAACGTTTGGTCATGAAAGTACCGTAAAAACACATTAATCATGCGAATTGCAACATCTTCCATCACATTAGCTCTTTCTTGTGTTTTGTTTGCAGCCACCGGAGGGCAGAATATATAAAAAGAAACTATCACAAAGCACAAACAGGCAGAATGACAGTGATGCAGGGAGAAGGGCTCCTGATGGTTCACCTACCATATTTCTGCTTATCTGCATCAGTTTCATCTTCTCCATTACGTTGTCGGTTCGCTGAGAAAGTTCCTGCAAGCTGTTGATGACATGGTTCAACAGAGCCCGAGCCTGGCCCTCCAGCTCCACTTTGTCTGGAGAAAACTCATCCCTGTGCGACAGAAAACTACATGAGCATTTCATAATTGGTGGATATGGGAGCATGCATACCAATGTGAAATACGTAGAAAAAATGCACCGCTGTGTGCGTGTTATTATGAGCGTGCATGTCTCCTTACCATCTCTGGACCTGAATCCAATCACGGAGGTAATATCTGACTTCAATAGGGAAGGTGTGCATGGGATACAGGTTCTGTGTCTGAATCGAAACATGCTCCAGGATCTTTTCTATGGGTACCCAACAAGCCATAGTCAAGCAGGTCTACAACACAAACAGAGGTCAACAAAATTTGTTTTATTTCTTTAATAACACTGTGACTATTTCAACCACTACTAAGAAAAATATATACATATATATATATACATATATATATGTCTGCCCTTTACCATACAAACTATGATCACTTAATTGTTTTTAATTATTATTATTCAATCGTACTCCTTTGGTACTTTTTTATTATTCCATTATACATATATTGTCATTATACATATACATACATTATACATATACTTTATTTCCCTCTGGGATTAATAAAGTATTTTTGAATTGAATTGAACATTATACTATGTTTTGAACCACTTTGGCCATGGCTGCCTCAGAGGAGTCGACAGGGGAGAGGATGGACTCCAGAAACCATCTTATCACCAGCAAACTGATTGGTCCACTATGTGAGTGTGCTACTTGTGGGACTGAGTTTGTTGTGGCTCCTCGGACTGATGAAGTCCTTTGGATGAAGGACGAAATGTTTCAACACAAAGAAACCGTCCAGAGGACCTGACTTAACTTTGTTGGCTATGGTTCAACACAGGCTAGGATTTTGTCTTATTTAAAATAAGTGATGAGAGCATCTAACCTGCAAAATCAACTAGATCAAAGCTAACTTACAAGTCTAAGATAGAAAATCTTCCATTTAAAGTTTGAAGATGGCAACGCACACGCTTCACTCATTAACAGTTACTAATTTCTTAAAATCTTATAAGATCGTTGTTATTTTCATACGTACTTAGCGAGTGAGACCAAATAACCACATTTTTTCAGTTTGATGTGTCCAGACTACAATAAATACACAAACTGTCTTACAGCTTTTATTTGTTTCAGATTAAAAGGGAAGATTAAAAAAAGATCCCCAGAACAAAGATGTCTGAGGCCTCTGACCACATCACAAACACTTCAGATCTTTTTGAGCTCTAAAACAGCTCTTCTTTGTCCCACCTTACACTTTAAAACTTCTGCACTAGTTCTCTGTCAAAATGCTTTTTTTCTCTCACCACCTCACAGAAACTTCAAACATTCACACAAACACCGTACGGTTCAGTTTGAACCTCTGCATATGTGATGAAACACTTACAGGAATCTTTTCAACATTGACTTTGTGCTTTTCAGACTTTTTTATTTTTTACAGTAAGCCAAACAGAAGATAAAATTCATGCACGCCAAACCAACATCTGGAAAAAGTGCGTCGTTCATAACGAGGCGTGGATCTGTTTCTGGCAGCAGGTCGTTCAGTGCATCCTGTGGCTTTATCAGCTTCCCACAGGTTGGTTCAACAATTCACTCTAAACAGTCGACAGTCTTCTCTTTGCATCACCTAAACATCGCCAAGACATCTTGTAGATTAATGATCCCTTTCTTTTCAGTAAGTTGAAACGGGTTTTGCATCTCATTCCAGCTCTAAAGTGGCCAACTGGATGTCAGCACGATGACTGGAATAGTGTTGATAAAGCAAACAAACAAAAAAACAAGAACAAAACACAGATGGTGTGGTCACAAATTTGTGCAACTCATAAAATGAGTCAAAGTAAAGCAAGAGGGGGTGTTGTAATAACTTTTGATCAGACCAGTTTGGCTTGACTGATAAATGGACTGTACTTAGCACCTTTCAATTTAAGCAAGATACTGAAAGAGCTTTACAACACAATCTGTGCCCTCATTTACCTCCACACACACATTCATATACTACAAAGATGATCTGAATCTGTAGAGACTAATCAGTGCTTTAGATCACATTCATACACTGATGGGACACATATCAAAGGTAATGAAGGGTTCAGTGTCTTGCTCAGTGACACTTCAACATGTGACTGCAGGTGGAATTGAACCCCCAACTCTCCCAGTGGCAGATGACTGCTCTAACCACACAGCTGCCCCTAAATCTACCGGGTAGTTTAAAACTTGAAATTTCATTTTAGCATAGACATAGTACATGTTAAAGGGATAGTTCACATTTTTCTGAAGTGAGGTTCTGTGGAATAGTTGTCAACAACAAATATAGTTTTGTTTTTTCTCTTCTTTCGGCTGCTCCCTTCGTCAGGGATCACAACAGCGAACTAAGTTACACGAAGACTTGGAAATTATTTTTTACACCAGACGATGATGCAACCACAGACCACCGAGCTACCACAGTCCTCTGTGTGGAGCAGAGAGCTGCTATCTAGGGGAATGGGGGAGCAGATGGTGGGGGTTAAGGGCCTTGCTCAAGGGCCCAGAGTGGGGCAAATGAGGGTGGAGACCATATGTGTCAAACTCAAGGCCCGGGGGCCAAATGTGGCCCTCGTTGACACCTTATCTGGCCCCCAAGATGTTATTTTAAATGTAAAATACTTTTTTCACTTTAATTTTTTTCAATAATCTTTGATTATGATGTCAAAAGTGCAACAGAGAACGTCAAATAAGACCAACCAAACTCTTGTTGAGGAACCTGCAACCAAGAAAAGATGTCGAGTATCTAACTTGAGTTAATGTAGATTCTGAAACCGGCCCTTAGTTTGAAAAAGGTTTTAATTTTGCCCCCCTTTAAAGTGGGTTTGACACCCCTGGTGTAGACAGTTGTGGGTACTTCACCAATCCCACCCACATTTTGATGTTGTCCGTACCAGAACATGAATCAGCGATCTTCCGATCACAGGCCCACCTTCTCTACCTATGTGCCACCATTCCCAAACAACAACTACAGTATATGTTGTAAATAACTCTTTGAGCGGCATCAGTTTGGAGACGTAGTTTAATTCTGACTGGGCTGAAGAGCTAATGGCTAGTCTGAGCACGGTCAAGACCGAAGTGGATCCTCTGCCCAAAAAAAAAGCAATAGTTATGTAGTTGCTGTTTTTAAAAACCCTTTACACATATGAATTTTGCATTACATGATTATCCAGTCAGGAATATTGATGCTCCATGCTACAGTTAGCTGCTGCTGCTATTTCAGCAGCAAAACTATAGAAGTCCACGTTTAATATTAAACCACTTAAATGTTTATAAATTAGCATTCACATGAACTACTTTGAGACTTTTGACATGGAGTTGTTTTAAGACATAAATCCTTTTGTTCTTAGACCAAATGTTAGCTTGTCAGTTCAATTCTTCTTGTCAGTGAGAAGTCCAAAAGAGCTACCTACAACAGGTAAGATATTAATTGTTCAGAACACCTCTTCAACAGCTCTGAACCACTGCTGGACAGATACCACTCAGCTGTCTCTTATCAAAATATGATTAACTTGTCCTGGTACAATGATTCTTAGATCGTCCCTGTCCTTTTGTAAAGTTTTCATAACAGATGGCACCTTATGGAAAACAAAAATTAGCTGAGCAAGACAGGCAAAATAAAACTTGATTTATCTGCTTATCACAGAAACAACCCACCTGAACAACATTTAGACCAATCTGATGTTCTGAAGTCCACAGAGCAGTAGTGTACTGCAGCACATGCAATGCTTTACATATATTACCAACTTGTTTCAGGTCATCACTGAGTACAGCTACTTCTAATATCAAAGTTTTCCTTTTCCGTGTGACCAATTTTACACAATGTAAGATTTATTAAGATACTTCTTGCCGTGTTTATGAAGCCTGAAGTGTGTTCATATTTATGTTTCTACAATTCTGGATTGGTTCTCTTCCCCTGATAAGATTTGTATCCCAGTGCTGTATCATTTGCTGCTAAAGAACAAATGTTTTAGCGATGTTGATATTTTGAACACAACATACTGGGACTAAAACCTGAAAACAGTCACCATGAAATGATCTCATACTAATTCTGTACTGGCTACGAAACTTAAAGCTATGCAATACTGCTCAACAAACTCCAAAGTACCCCCAACTAAACAAAGTGCTAAGTTTAGGCTGATACAGTGGAGTGGGAAAATCCCACAGCCTGGAATGCAGATTTTTATTTATTTATTTATTTTCCTTCTTGATTTTATTAAAAAAGAACATGACATTGTTTAAATTGGATCGACTCCAGAAAAAATATTGTCATTTAGTATAAACAAGAACGAAGAACCACAGTACAGCTATGGCTTCCAAGTTGTGTCCACATGAAGAATCTGCTGCGTCAAGCAACAAACCAATCATAAAATGAGATTACAATATAACTGAAGTACATACCATTAACTGAGTCTACAGTCTATTTCTCAACTTAAAGAAACATCATCGTGTCAACAGTTTTGGGCCCTGTGGTTAAATTTGCTCCAGTTTATTACGGCAAAGATTTGTTTGACCAGCTATTGTTGTAGACGGAGTGGACACATGTGGAAGAGAGGAAGAATGACACTGAGACAAACTTATTGATATAAAAATTAAACCGTTTTCCTCATTTGATGATCACAATGAACGAGACATTTCAGCCACTGCAGCCTTCTGCCTAGGTGTCCTTCAACACCATGTGGATGGATGTGACTATGGGGTGCCGTTTGTAACGTTACACAGTCTAAGATTAACAGCAATATTTTGATTTATTTAGACTTTAATAGGAAAAAAGAAGTTTTTGCTTTTTCAAAGTCATATTTTTACCATGTTGTGAAAACCTTGCAAGCTAAATATTTAGCTTGCAAGTTAAATATTTAGGTCCGAGTTAAATATTTACTTAGTAAATCAAATATTTATTTTGGAAATTAAATGTTTAGATTGGGAAATAAATATTTAGGTCCGAGCTAAATATTTAGTTAGCAAATTAAATATTTAATTTAGGAGTTAAATGTTTAGCTTAGAAATTAAATGATTAGTTTGGAAATTAAATATTTAGCTTGGACAAAAAATATTTATTTTTGAAGTTAAATATTTAATTCACACCTAAATATTTAGTTTACTACTAACTAAATATTTAACTTGCAAGTTATGTAATTAGTTTGTAGACAAAATATTTAGCTTGTAAATTAAATATTTAGATGGCAACTATGACATTTATAAATGTATAATAACATGGTGAAAATATGACTTTGAAAAAAAAACCTTTTTTTTCTTATTGAAGGCTAAATAAACCAAAAATA